ACCTTCGCAATATCATATATGTAGTATTTAATTAAGATTCTTGCAATCATAATGCTGTAACTTAGAAATTTTATTTATCATTTGACAATTTATGTAATCGCAGCAAATAATACATCTCATTAGGCAGTTATTTTAATCCTTTATAAGACACATAATATTTAATAATAGTTTGCAAGCGGTATGCTTTTTATTTATAACTGTTACTAACTGAAAATTTCCAAGATTTTTTTTTAAATCTATCGCGTTAATATCTGCCATTGACACTCAAGTTGAGTATCTATTGGCAGAGTATCTATCTCGTTAAGTGTCGCGACTAAACGTGGCACCAAGGAGTGTTCCAGTCATGCGTCACGAGGTTAAGGAAAGGGCGTGCTGTCCGCATTGATTTACGTGGAGGAGGATAGTAAGCGAGAGAACGAGAGGAGAGCCGCGTGGCCGCGCTGGGGATTGCTACGAGACGGGAGGAAAAGAGGGACGGGGGGAGGGAGAGCGGGTAAGGGAGGAAAGACCAGGAGGACCACACCGTAGAATCCGAAGCCACGTGATCGGAATAGTCGATTCCATCCTCCACCTTTCGGCCCTCCGGAGAAACCTTTCCTCCCGCATCCAACTCCCCCCCCCCCCCCGTACACCGACCGAGTTTCCCTCCTGCCCTCTCTCAGCCTCTCCCATCGCCATTCGTCGCCGCCACCCACGCCCGGTCGCGTGGATACGTGGTCGAACCGCCGCGAGGACACCGTATAATTATCGGATGGCAGGTAACTCGAACGCTCTCGCCCGGTTTTAATTGGCCAATTATCGTGGCGCAAATAGATGGTGCCGCCGATCCAGATAGGCGTGAAACTTTTGGGGTGGCCTGCTCACCGAGCGACACAACGCGACTTTCTGTGACGAATATCTCTTGGCAGTAGGGTGCCGACGTACGCGCGGATCAGGGGAGGGGAGAGGAGACAAACGTGGACAAACGAGAGAGGGAAGGGAGGCGATGCATGGGCATCGAGAAGAGAAGATCGAGGGGCTCGCATATCGATGTGTATATGCCACAACGGCGCGCACGCCGGTACTCTCGCACCACTGTACCCGTACGTGTGTATCCATGTGTCGGACGGGTAGAATCGGGATCAGAATCGGGAGCACGAACGGGCGCAAATTGGTCACGGCTGGTCTGTCCGATCTCCCTGCCGTGCGCCCCCACCTTCGATGGATCCATCCCCCGTCCCTTCCTTCCGTCTCTCATCCCGCTCGCCCGCTCGATCGCTCTATCAAACCCCCTCTCGTCGTCGCGCCCGCCACCGTGCTCCACGTCTATCTCGCCAACTAGCTTAACCTTCCGACTCGCGTACCGTTTCGAAACTATTAGGGACCCCCGCCAAAACCCTCATCACTTTGGCAGGTAGAGTAATCCACCGACACGAAGCTCACCTGCGCCATAATGACACCAGAGAAACGCTTTCCCGTGCTCGATGATCAACAATGGGATCTTCATTGAAGACGCTTAATCAATACGCGAGATCCATTCGTGGTGGTTTTGCATGTTACGTTTATCGTCTCGGATAGAGATGAGCGACGTGTTCGAAAGTACCTGGATGGCGTGCATTGGTGCGCGTTACATTAGCGTCCTGAATTATTAATTATGTTTCAGCGTACTACAAATCGAGTGGCAAACATTGCATGCATACGGAATGCACCGCGAATGACCTCGATTCATCGTACGTGATGCCGACTAAGTACATTAATTTTTTTTCTTCGCGGTAATTAAAATATTGGTTTGCAGTAATGTCTGCATATAATTAAAGTGCATCAAGTTCTTGTTGAAGAAGTTCACGATATTATTTGATGTCTTTATATCACGAAAATTGTGGGAAGATTAAGAAGCAATTTCTCTGATTAGCGCTAATTGCGGCAAATGTCTTGTTAGATGAAAATTCTTCAAAAACATAATTTGAAGAGAGAAAATATATAACGAACGAGGATTAGGGATTGGCCGACGTCGACTAAATCGGCCCTAACAATAAGTGACATGAGTAAAACCATGCTCATTTGTTCGCGGATAATTGACATCGAGTTTAGAATGACATTTCTAAGAACGGGCATCGTGAAGATGATATTTTTGTAGACGGGGGTCTGTGAATTATTACGTTCGTTCGTTCGCGTGACAAGAGGGAATGAGAAGCGCATACTTCTACGATTACCTTCTCCCGTCTCGAGAGTGCAAAGGGTGTTCCAAAATTGTCCCGAGTTTTTTCAGCTGCGAATTTGATTTGTTGTCATCAATAAATTCTCGATTTAAAAGTTACGAATTAATTAGCTTGGACCAATTATGCTTAAATTTGAACAGTAATTTTTTAAATTTTGCTTTAACATAATTTTCGCTTGAGAATAATTTATCAAAATATTTGCAATATTAAAATATTGGCAGAAAAAACATAAATTTTTCTTTTTTTTTTTTTTTTAAGAAGAAAAAGTAACTTCGAATGTAGTCCAAGAATACATAAATGACAAAAGCGTAATAGCTGTTCTGAAACATCCGTATGTGCAGGGGACAAGCTGCGGTGCATTATATAATATACACGGCTAACAAAACGGTTGGACTTGATGAATAAAAGGTCTATTATCGCATTAACTACGGCGCCTGCGATAATTAGTTTTCGCGAAACACGATAACACACTGCGATACCTTCTCGCGCGGCTCAGCTACCGCGCCGTTACCTCACTCGAGCGCTAACCAAATAATGAGGTGGTACAATTGAGGATTAGTCGAGCCACGCTTAATCCAATTTGTCATCTAATGCGATCATCGTTACGGTTATAATTTCACAGGACAAAGTATTCGCGTCTGTGCAAGCGCGCGCAACACATACATAAATTCCTGATCATCTATAAAACTATTCTAAGCTCAATCGCATTTTTAATTACTTCAACAAAGTTTAATCACACGCGCTCGATACGTTTACCAGAAGCTTAGTGTATCATGTCAATCGGTCATTTATCTCTAAATACAACACCGGAACAATACACAACGACAATCATTAAAACTGTCAAAACACTCCACCGCCACAATCTTCTGGCAAAGCGCATGTATCTTTCCAATATCTCGCCAATTTCCTGGAAAGAATCGATCACTGCGACAATAGCGATATCAGTTTCGCCGAACAATTGGTTCAGAACTAAATCGATAATGATTGGGAAATCGGCGGGCAAACGTTGCGAGAGAAGAAGAGGAGAAAAGAGAAAGAGAGAGAGAGAGGGGGGGATGTTAGAGTGAAACTAGCAGAGCCGAAGATTACGAGAGTGATGAAGAAACTCACATTGTTGATAGAGAGCGAGGGAGAGAGAAAGAGTGAAAGAGAGAGATCAGTATTGCAGACGCATCAGCCGGTTACGTTCGATTGGCTGGCAGGGCGGTAGGCCAGCAATTACCTAAATGGTCGGGTAAACAATATCCGTGCGCCGAGTTAAGAGCGGAGCAGCAGCATCAGAGCACCAGCACCAGCTCTCCTATCAGCTCTCTGTCCGTCCGTCCGTCCGTCGGTCGGTCGGTCGTCCGATCGTTTGGCCGTTGTGTTGGTTCTGATTTGATCGCCAGTACCATCACCACCTCGCTCCCGGTTCGCAAGAGAGAGAAAATGTGTGTATGCGCGTGTGTCGTGTACCCACCACGATTATACTCTCCATCCTATACACGGGAAATCGCTATACATAAACTCGTTGAAGAGGCCGCGATGCGCCGCCCTCACCGCCGACACCACCACCGACGATCATCGCCAAACCCACCGAGCGTTTTGCGATCCCGTATACATGCGTCGAGCATGCAATTCCTCCACACGCGTTTTATCTTCCTTCCTTCCTTTCTACCTTGAAACGAGCGCAACGAACGACGTCGCGCGCGCGGACACGAGGGAAGAGATGTGTTCCTTGGTCGATGCCACTCGCTCTCTCTGTGGTGGTTAAATCAAAGACAAACCACTTTAGCCGGTCCGATCGCGGAGAAGGGCGGGGAGTCGCGGGACACTGTGATAAGAGGGACGAGGGGAAGATAGCGGAGGGGTGCGGAGCGACGGAAGTTGGGGTACTCGCGTGTACATACCCGAGTATCTGGCGAAAGCTCCGCCGCGAGACGTCCGCACGCGGCTCGTCCGCGTGTTCGTGCCTCGTCCATTCAGGCCGCGGTACCCTCGTGTACGTAAACCGCCTCAAGGGTGTATGTATGTATGTACGTATACATGTATACGTTTACATGTGGGCAGCGATGCGCGCGGAACCAACACAGAGACGCGATTCTCGCGATGCGGTTACAGAGCGTGTTTAAAGCACGTGTGTGCGCGCAACCCCCGATGGGGAGAGTCATCCGGTACGCCCATTGGCGGTTGAAGGTAGCTTCGAGCGGGGGTTAACCACGCCTAGCCGAGGCGGAACAAACCCCCTCGCTTTTGCCGTTCCACTCGGACCCACGATGCCACCGCTCTCTTCCTCGGCGCTAATAATACGCCGATATACCACCAATTCTGCCACCATGGCTCTACGCGAGACTCCCGAGAGTAGCTGCCACGGTACGCGCGCCGCGACGGGTGACCAAAGACATTGCTAATCGCGCGCCCATGCCGCGAGGGATAATTTTAAATCCACCGTTTGTCGCGAGTCCTCGACAGGAGTTTTATCTTAGTCGTGAGAAAAGTGCGGATGCGCGATTCCGCTCACATTAACATCGCATTGGATTCGTCGATAATTCGCCGATCGTTTCGTTGTCGCGTGTAGTGTCAATATGGACCGTAGCACGGCAAAACAGTGACATTCGAGAAAGGAAAGTGTAACGCGTATGATGGATATGCATTAACATGAAACACCGACTACGGTCGGCTTAACAAGACTTACAATATTCTTCAATCGGAAATAATATACAAGAGGATCGTGAAAACAATCGCTGTGTTCAACTTCCGCGAGTGAGGATGAAGAGACGCGAGATCAGGTAAAGAAAGAGATCACCCTCTTACTAGCGGGTAATGTGGAGAATGCAAGAAGGCAGGACCGTGTCGCCTCTAGGACCGATCGTCCTACCGCGGGAAGAGGCCGACATGCGTGCTAGTCTATCACTGCCGCCGCAGGAGAGGAGGCCCGTGTTGCTCGTACGTACCGGCGAGTCCTTCCCGAGGTACGACGGCATGCGACAGCAGCAGTCGCCGTCGAGCTCGCCGATCCTGCGATCCGTCACCGCCGTTGACAAGGATCAGTACCATGAGATAGATCAAGGCAGGGAGAAGAGGCCGAACGATGCCGAGGAGGCAGAAGAGCAGGAGGATGAGGAAGAGGACGATGCCGACGACGAGCGAAACACGCCGGCCGGAAGAAACGTCATCGTGGACGACGAGGACGACGAAGAGCAGGAAGACGAAGAAGAGGAGGAGGACGATGGTCGATCCGAGAGACACCGAAACGGCAGCTATCACGAAGACGGTGACGTCGAAGTCGACGTGTGTCGGGAGGACGGCGACGAGAGCAACCCCAGTAGCCCGGTAGACCTCACGGCACCCTCGTCGAGAGGCGTCGCATCCGAGCAGTTCGTACATCCGTTCGCCAATCGCGGGGTGCATCCTTTCACTTGTGTACAAAGTGGTGGGCCCGCCGGCCACGGAACGTCAGTGTATATATCCGGACATGGCGCTACCGGCTCGGCCGTCATGACGGTGTGCACTTCCGGTAACGTGGCGCGCACCACCACCGGCACGTCGACAGGTAGCATCACCACGACCGCTACCAGCACGGTGCAGACAAACAACAAGCGGTGCCTCGCATTCTCCGTTGAGAATATTCTCGACCCGAACAAGTTTACCGGTGGCCGCATCGTCCATAATCGCGTGCAGCATCGCCGACATCGACGCGCCGGCAGCGTGCACGAAGGTGAATAACAAATTCTCGTCTTCTGTCACGAAATTCTTTCGCTTTTGGCGCGGCTACTTGGCTAGCGTAATTGACGTTCTCGCAATTAGAGAGATCCGACGCATAATCGATCTGTCGCATGGTCGAAACGCCGCGGTTATCTCGGCAAATTAACTAATAAAGAACGTGTGACATTTTAAACGGTGCACATTTCAGTTAGGATTTAATCAATTGGAATAGAAAGAAAAAGAGCCGGCCAATATTGACTCGAAGTCTTTCATTAAACCTGAAATTGATGTCTTTGATTTTGACTAAAAAATTTATTGCGGGCGCACATATTACATACAGAGAGTGCTATTACGAGTATTTATATTTTTGCAATATAATATAAATTTTTATATATATTTTATTATTATTTTTTATCTGATTAATAATTCTCTTTCAATAAGTAGCCTGCTTACATCAAATATATATATATAGCTCCTCATCTTTCTCATCTCAATCGACATGATCGCGACAATTTATCACTTGCCATATAATATAGAAAAATAATTAAAAATATAAATGTGGAGAGATAAAATTATATATAAAAAATATAAATTTGTATTATGATTATTAAAAAGAATTCTGTTTATCCGAGCTCATTACACGGACACTTGCGATGTAATCTCAGATTTATATTTGTAACTTGAGGGCAAATTTTTATAATATCTAACATTGGATAGTGTCCATTTAGTTATTTGCAGGCGAGAAAAAGTCGATATGTATTTCCCGCGCTGCTGTCTTCTTTAAAGTTCCACGCTATATCTCGAGCGATATTTTTTCACGTCCGGCGTTCGTCCGACCGCATCTTAGTTCCCTTGACGCTTCGCTAGTCCTCTCTCGCTTCTTCCTCGTTCTAATTTTAGACGCTAGAAGGAGGACTTCTTCTCCGACGATCGTGCAATTTTGGGAGCTGTCGGGCTATTTGCGTGTACGACGATACACGAGGATTCCTGCAAAAGTGACAACTAGGGATGTCTCAGCCGGGACATGAGAATGAAACTCTTCCAACATCTCATTAATGTCGTTTTGAATAATGTTAATGCAATTGCGAAACGATACGCGCGAGCTACGAGATTCTGCGATGCATTAATATACGTATGAGAAAATTAAAGTACTATAACACATTTATAGAAATAAATGTTATTAGATGCACATATATCGTTTCAAACATTTCATGTAAAAATTTATTTTTAGAAAATGCTTAGAAAATATTTCTAAATTTTGTGTGATTAATATAGGAAAACGAATATAAAACTTATGATATTTTGCAGAGAATTCATATTTTGCAGAAAAATATATACTATGCCACAACTTTATTCCAGAATAGATTAAAAATCACAGTATTACAATCTATAGCAAATCTTGATTTATACGTCTTCATACTTTACTCTTATTTATTTGTTGAATTTATCAATCGCTTACGTCACTTTACCAAAGAAATAGGATGATGTATCATAAGAAATTACTAGATCATCGGATTATCGATATATATATAAACAATTAAATCAATCCAAACATTTTGTTAATGTTATAAAACAATTTTTTCCTCGTCTTTTTGAACGTACTTTTTGAAACGACAACGACGAGGGAAATTTATCAGTGGTGGATTGCACGAGTTCGGTGACCGTTCGTCGCGGAGGATCCCAATTTCACAGTTGACTTTCGAATTTAATGGAGTCTGGCGGACAGACGCGGGAGAAGTGGTCCTGCAGGCCGATAAGGGACAGAAGAAGCATCCCGAAGAAGGGGTGAAGCGAGGCAGAAGCGGACGGTACGACGACGGAGGCGGGCAGGGGAAGCGACCGGGCGGCGGCCTGTCGGAGCGTGACAAATTGCTCCGCTAATCTGCGTTAACCAGTCCTTGAACCCCGTCATCGTCGTCCCTTTATCCCGGTACGGGACGCCGAGTGCTTGCGAAATCAGCGGATGGTCCAGCCGCCGTCGTCTTCCATCGGCGCAACCCAAGGACATTTTTATCGTGAGGAACGAGCCGAGAAAAGAGAGAGAAGGGTGAGAGAGAAGGACGCGCGCGCGCGCGCGCGCGATGGATCGATCGCAGCCGTCGAAATCGAGATTACACGATTGTCGGCTCATCCATCTTACCAGGATGGTCGTCGCTTCCCATTAAAAGTGCATCAGGCCCGAGCCAATCCGTTTCGACTGCCATCACCGGGATCACCTCTCCTCTCCACCCCCGCCGGCTCGGATCCGCCGACGGAATAATATCGCCGGTTGTTATGATAATCGCGCAGCATCGCGCCGTATCGCACCGCATCGCGCCAAGCCGCCCAGAAAATTGGCTCTTCTGCATCACAATGACTTTTCTCTCTCTCTCTCTCTCTCTTTTTTCATATCTCTGTCTCACTTTTCCATTCCTCGTTGTCGCAGTACCCACGAAAGTCACCCCTCCGAGCGTTGCGTTCATGATTCGTGATCCAGGATCTTCCGCTAGATTTCGGCGAAATTTATAATTATCTTACAAACGCCCCGGAAAACCTCGAGATATCGCGCCGTATGTCGCAGCTGCTATGGTTCCGTTATAAAGAATGAAAGAATCTCTGTTTGATTATGGATGCCGAATTAATTATCTACTTCTTAATAATTCTAATTTTAATAATTGTAATTTTAATTGGTTCCATTACTAATTTTGTGTAAACATCATATTTTGCAGTTTACACGCCTGTTTTACATTCCTGTTATTGTACATCGTAATCTAAAAGTTTGTTCAAGTATCAGCTGGATTATAAATACTATCATTAAGAATTTCCGCTGAGATAAATCGCGAACGCGCGATTCATCGCCGCAAGCAATTCAGGAACGGTTAGGGACTTTGTCTATTGCGTATTTCCCGATTGTGCCACTTGTCGTTAAACACTGTCATTGTGTTTAATGAGGAAAACCGAAACGAGATAAGTATTCCCGTGTCTGCTGCTTTGTCGCAGCGCACACTGCGATCGACTTCCCCCCTGTGTACCCTTAACGTATCCCTCAGGGACTCGACATACATCCCCGATCGCTTCTCTCGCACACAACCCGCCTGATCGTGGTTAATGAAGAAGATCTAAACGATATGAATGGTCCTCCCGCCGGCGATCCCACCGCTATAAAAACGCAATGATAGAAACGCGATCTGCAGTCGTTAATTTCCTGATGAGCTCAATTAATTTCACAGCTGTCATGCTAGGCGATGAAATGACGTTGATAATGCTCCTCTTCAGAAAAAATGGGTCGATTATTTTTCATGTAAACTTCAATTCGAGACATATATATATTTTGCAACAATTATATTTTTATCAAAAATAACTTTTGCAATAATTTAGCTAAAATTATACCTCAAAGCTATGTAATAGAGTCAATTAATTAAATGATTTCCATCTTGTTAGATATAAAAATCTAATCTTTTTAAATTATATTAAAATCATTATGGACTCTCTCTTTCTCTTTCTTTTTTAGAGAAAAATTTAAGTAAACAATTGAAATTTTATATCTCGCGCGCTAAATGTACACTATATTAACATTAAAAATAAAGGAGAAAAAGAACATCGAAAAGTAATACTATTCAACACATCCGACTTCATTAAAGACTACGGCTGACAGATCACAATCCTCGCAAAAGCACGCGGACGGGCGGCGACGAAGCGGGAAAAAGGAGGAACAATATAAATTAGTGAATTCAATTAGACGCGATCAATCGGCATCGACCAGGTATATCTTAATGTGGAGACCGCGGTGTTATATGAGAACGGTATAGAAGAAGACCAAACTGGAACGGGAAGAAGATAGAAAGATGGGAAAGGTAGCCGCTTGGCGGCCTGTACGACGGGGCAAGAACGATCGCGCGTTAACGAGATACAAATCCCATTACGGCGTAAACCTTCTCGATCCGTCGCCCCCTACGGACTTCCAACCCCCAGGCACTATGCTAGGCTGCAGGCTATGGGCCACGAGCCACGCCAATTCGGATAAAGTCCCACTGTCTCCCTCTAACTTTCTCTGTCTATCTTGCCTACTCCCTCTCTCTCTCTTTCTCTCTCTCTCTTACTGCCTTCGATGCCGACATATACCATCCTCGTCGCTTTTCGTCTATTCTGTCCCTATATCTATCTTTTTCTCTCTTCCTCCCTGTCTCCCTGGTTTTATTCAGCAAGCTATCCCCACTCGCGGTATCCCAGAGGCACCCCAACCCCCACGGACGAGAGCCAGGGAATATCTGTCCCCGGGACATCTGCGTGCTGATTGAATCTCCAATCTCCTCTCTCATTGAGCGAACGATTGGCCGTTCTTTCTCTCTTTCTCGGTCCCCACTACTCTCTGTCCCTCTCTGATTCACACGAGGATCGTTTCGTTCGCAGACACGATCGGCGACGCGATCGCTCGATCGGACGCTATGCAATTCCGCTCTCTCACGAGACGCGAGAAGCTATATTTCTTTGCGGTAAATCGTCTCAGTCAAACAAAAATTTAGTTAAGTGTAATTTAACAAATGAGTTTATAAAGTCATTAAGAGAATCTTAAACTGATTACTAGCAATTAACATTTGTTCCGCGTAATTAAAACATATTTGATAATACAATTATATAATATAAACGTCTATGAATATTTTTATTAATAAAAACCTCCGATATGAAAATATATTACATGTATTATTGCAATTTTTTCTTATAGCTATATTCGTTTGACAAGTTTGTGTGTAAAGTCAATCTTTCGATTTCATTATATTATAAATTGAATTTAAAAAAAATAGATTAAAAAATGATTTCATGTGTGTTATGAATAAAATAAACATTCAGTAAATCTTAAAGTACGCGATGAACGTAAATAAAGTGCCTCGCACGATGAGAAACGCGACATCCAAGCCGCAATTTTGTCCCTCGTATAATCAATCCTCGTCACCCGACACCGCGATCCCATATCAGCGCCTCTCCCTCTTCGTGGTTTTACCTTCCATCACAAAAGTGATCCCGTGATTATTATTTTCAGACGGCGACTCGCGGGGCGAATTCGCCTGCGGCAGCGGCCAAGAAGATGAGGAAGGTACACCGGACACCGTCATGGAGGAGATGGAGGAGGATGTCGAGGAGGAGGACGAAGACGAGGAGATTGAGATGCGGGTGGTGGATCAGGATTCTGAAAGCGTCGGGCGGGAGAATACGACCAGCGGCGGCACCAACACAACCGCGACAAACTGCAAGAAGCGGCAATCCTCGTCATCGTCCACCTCGTCGAGCGGCGTCCAGGTACAAAACTGTCAAAGTCAGAGTCAGAACAGTCAAAACGGCACTGGCGGTGGTGGCGGGAGCGGCGGAGGTAGCAGTAACGCCAGCGGTAAACCCAGAAGAGCGCGAACGGCCTTCACGTACGAGCAACTGGTTAGGCTGGAGAACAAGTTCAAGACTACGAGATATCTATCCGTGTGCGAGCGATTGAATCTGGCGCTTGAGCTTCAACTGACCGAGACCCAAGTGAAGATCTGGTTCCAGAATCGGCGGACCAAATGGAAGAAACAGAATCCGGGCCTGGACGTCAACAGTCCCACGGTGCCAACGACGCCGCCGCATCCGTCGCCGTACGCACCTGCCTTCCTCTTCGCCGCGCATCCGCATCAGCATCCGTTGCCGCACTCGCACACGCATCCGCACCCGCACGCCCACGTACACCACCCGCCGCCGCCGCCGCCGCCCGGCTACTATCACCCGGCGGCCCCACCTTACCCACCGACCGGACCGACCTTCTTCGGCCATCATCTGTCAGCGACTCCTGCTGCGACTGCGTCGGGACCACCGCCGACCTCTACACCTTCCTCTACCGGCCTAACCCTCACGTCTCATCCGCATCCGCACACGCACCCGCACGCGTAGCGAACTCACAGGCGATGATAGCCTGCGTCAGCGTCCTCGCCTTCGTAGTCCACGGCAAGGAAACGGCGGGTTCGTGTGAGTACTTTCGGTCGCGACGAACAAAAGTACTAGGGAAGGAACAAGGGTAGATTGTCGTGCGTTTATAATTTATCGATATCATCATCGTTGGTTGATTCTCCAATTTGTTGTTTTTCGGTGAATGTTTATTCATAGTATATATATATATATATATATAATTACAGTGTTTTTTTTTAAATTAGTAGGAAGTCTTATCGTTCCTCTACGCGACAATGAAAGAAATTGGTCACTTTAAGAATAATTGAAAATAACAAAGTCCATATAATTTTTGCCAATTGTGATAACTAATTGAATGTGTTAATCATTAAATACATAATTTTAATGTATACGCGAAAGACAGAAAAATGCATTTATTAAAATTGTATTCCTCTCAAAAGCGATTGAGAGGAATAACGTGACGTTTATTATTATCTGAACAATTTTAATTCAGAAGCTTGTGTTATTTTTCAGATAAAAATAAAACTATGAAATAATATCTTGGCATCGTGAAATAGCAATTTTTGTTCGATATTTAAAAATGATATCGAAAACTATTTAAGTATCGAAACGAACGATAAGTGTAATGTTTTCGTTTGTCGGATCGAAGAGCGTAAGCAGTCGCGATGTTATATTTTGCCTTCCCGTTGCGCACGTGAAACGACTCGATAGCATAATCGGTTTACGTAGGGTGACGTTCAAAAAACGAGCGTATCATTCCGGCACGACACTGGCCAAACATTTAAATTCCATGCGTATTTTTCTCCCAACGTCCGATCTTTGGACAATAGCGAAGGGAAGATGACATCTTTCTAAAACGAACACACTCATCATCTGATAGATAACTCGACACTTGACATAAAGTGGAATGATAATAGAATAGAGGGCTGAGTTTTATGAAAAAGTTTCGATTACTTCTCTAATTTGCGCTTTTGCTCCTCGTTCCGAGCTTTGCGTATCGTAAAAAAGATTGAACAGAGTCATAAACTATCGTAACACCGCCCGAAACTGGCGAGTCGTCCTTCGCCTAATAAAACGAGAATCTCACTACTTTTATCCATGTAAAGTGACACGAACACCCCGAGTCCTTGTCGTTTTCTCATCTTTGTAACATATTCCGTTCGTCGCCGCGATTAAGCGACGGCGGAAACTCGTCTTAAAGGGAAGTAGATTTTATCAGACACGCTCTTAGCAAGTAAGATGTATGCGTCAGGATGGATGTGCGAGAATGCGTGTGCGAGAGTGCGGTGATTGCGATTGTGGTGAAAAATTAGTGAGTAATGTTTCGTGTGCCGATCGCAAAAACGAGGCACACCCGGAACGTAGTGATCGTTCCTGTGTAAAATAAAAATCATACGTTACGCTCGTAAAAACCTCCATCCAGTGTGTATATAGATACAATTAATCCCCGTTACACGCACGTGCGACAAGAATAAAGATCGATTTTGCTTAACACATTCGAACCGTCGTGTTACGACAACAATATCTCGTATTGTCCGCTTTCAGCGTTTGTCGCGAGACAATTTGCTGCTGGGTGACATTACAAATTTCATCCCATCAACCGTCTAATATTGTAATACCGTTACAAGGAGTATTATTTAGATATTGAGATCGATCCACAATATGTGAGTTCAATTTTTTCTGTAAAAGAAATATACTTTACGCGACACAGTTCTTATTAATCTTTCATTGCTACATATAAAGAGAAAACAAACGCAAAATATATTTTTAGCAAATAAAAATATATTTTATTTTCGTATATTTTTATATAGAATCGAAAATTGATCTCACTCCGATTTCAGTTTCAAATATTCCCGATCTCGTGATATATTTATCGATACGTCGAATCAAAATCGATCTCTCTATAGTCGCACAATTTTTTATTTTGCTATATTTTGATTTTTACAACTTTTTAACTCGGTGTTTTCGCGGGAAAAAAAAGCCATAAGTTCGATTAAGTTCAATGCTGAAAGCCAATTACTCCGTGTAACTCAGAATCTCGGAATCGGTGTCGTAATTGCTTTCTTTCTAACCTTCTTCGTAACTCACCGAGTTTTTTCTTCATTAGCCCTTAATGAGCGGCGATCGCTCGTCTGTCGCCCTCGATAGTACGGTCCGTCTGATTTCGGGCACGAAAAAAAAAATGACTGTTGTTTTTGCAAAAGATAAAGGAAAAGGACACCGAGAAAAGAGAGCAAGAGGACGCGCTAAGTGAACAGAGCCATTAGACGGCAGAGCTCTGCGTTACCCGCTCTTTGAGAGTCGCAGTCTTCGCAAAACCAGCACCTAGAGTCTTCCACGCGTAATTCCGACCGCATAGTGCCGCCTTGTTCCCGACTTCCAAAGGCAGCCACGTTCAATTGACGGAAAATTGCTCGCGCCTTGCTTTGATGCTCAAATTAGAAACTACTCGGCTCAAGCTGCGCGACACGCGTCGTCGGTGATCTGACCACGCATCTATGCGTCTCCTAATTACGAATTGAAGGTAAAAGTAGACCTTTACATTAACGGGACAAACGGCTTCTAAACTTGTTAAATGCTGTTTAAATGCTGAAGCTAACCGCTGGCTCGACCAAAGGATGACTGCGTTTTTTTAGAGAAATAGTTCTCTGTCTCTTATGAATGAAGATGGTAAGTACATTATCAAAAACATAGATGTGCTTTTCATCATTGATACTCATTAAAAATTTAAGAGAACATCTCGCGCGCCTTGATTATAAATAACACTTGGTAATAAAACTGACTACTGATTCAGAAAAAAAAAAATACTATTACAAGGGACGTTAACTGTATAACAACAAAGATAGGTCTCATTCCAAAGAACAAAGAAACACGCTTATTCTTTCGTTCTTCTTATCTCGACTTTTCTGACGGACCTTTCGTTGAAAACGACGGTGTTATCGAAGCAGGAGTCAGGAGAAAGTTAAATCGACGCGAACGGGAATACGAAAGGAGAGCTATGAGAGAAAAAGGATCCGTGGGGGGAAGATGATCCGAGGGCGCTCGAAAAGGTAGGAGTGGCTGTCGGTCGGTCGCCGGACGATTCTCTCGAATTAATTCTTAGGGGTGGATTTGGGAAAGGGGCCGCTACCGCCGCCGCCGCCTCTGAGGGGTGTGAGTAGAACGAGTGGACCGTGAAATAACCAACCCCCGCGCGACACTCGCAACCCCCACGTTTCGAACATTGACAGTGGCGTAACTTCGTTATAAGCTTCTGCGTGCTGCTGCGAGAGAGAGTCTTTTTCCGAGAAGACTCTCTCTCTCTTTCTCTCCTTTTCCCATCTTCCTCCTCGCCACCATAGTCGCAGGTGACGTAAGAAGCGCTTAATTAATGATAAATACCGCGCTCGTTACGTCGCAAAGCGTTATGCTCCTAAATAACTATGTCTGGCAAATTTATTTCCTCTGCTTGAACATCGTCGCAGAAATTATCTTAATCGGTTCTAATCTAGCTATTAAGTAGCTCCGCTCTATGTTCAGTTTACAAAGATCTCTTAATTGTTGCTGCACCATTATTTCGAAATACTCGCGGAATGTTACGCAGATAATCTGGCGCAGTAATATCTCATACAATACATAAAGTGTTAACATCTTTATCAATTTTCACTTGCCATTTGCTTGATACATATAGATTTATCCTACGATATTTGTCTTATCGAAAATATAGCTTAAATTTAAATTAAGAGATATTATTGGAATAATTGAAAAATGATTTAAAAAAGAATATGATAAAATTTTGTTATTTTTATGTATTATCATATTTTCTAAAATATTCTACGAAATCTAAAGAATTATTAGAATTCGACAATTCGTGCAAAATTGTCGCGTCGTAAAGAAATAACTTTGGTTCTGAGCTCGTAGCACGTATATAACATTGACGGGTTAAACAGAGTTGTACGCACTGTGTTCTCGGGTTCGTATAGGGATTACCCGCTTGAGGTCATGACGCCGCACGCATCGAGAGCAGCAAGGCACGCCACTGCAGTCACTCCGTTCCGGTTAAGCGTGTAATAGTTCAATAGCTGTCGCAGCCGTGTCTGCGAATACGTCGAGACACACTACTGCCGTTCCCAACGCGTATAAACGCGTATTTATGCGAGCGTTTAATCGCGCATTACGCTCTGCGGTATTTCTCCATACATCTCGTCTCCCCTTGTCAAAGCAAGGAATATCATTGCGCGAGATTAATTCCGATTTTTTTAGACGGATTACGCTAACTGATACTCTCACAACATCGACGAATATTCGAGAGTTATTTTTCACAAGCTGATATATCTTAATTAAGTTTTCATCACATTTAGTAATTTTTTATTTTAAGCTTCTTGACATGTGTTTTTATGTCATAGAATATGACGTAGCATTAAGCGTGTCTTAGAAATGTCAAACTTATAGCTACATTTACATTTCATATGTTTTTTATTAAAAAAAAAATTTGAATATCTACACTTTTAAATCATAAGTTCCTGGAACCAAGATGGAATCTTTTTTCAAGGAAAATTATTACAATCTTAACACGATTATCTTTATATAATATTTATACATCTACAAATATACTTTAGATCACTCTCCTTCTCCATTTTCACGCGTCGTTCATACACTTTAGCTTAACCGGGAGATAAAAGCCGCTTCTTACCGGAATGCCTCGATGCGTCTCCTTCCACCAAGTATCCATAGTTAAATCGGATAGCGGGTCTCGTAAACGAACAAAAGCCTCGGCGGATCGATCGATCGGCCGTGAGCCGTTATCTTTCACGTCCGCGCTTCTCTCTTTCCTTGTTCAGTCTCTGTCAACTCTGTTTTCTGCCATCGCCACCGGAACGTCTCGATTGTTCTAGGTATTACGGTTACAACGTATGTATGCGCGCCAGGGGAGACCCACGATTATGAGCTCACCAACTCGCTTTTTCGCGCGTCGTTAGTTTCTCTCGATCGACGCATCAATTCGCATTTTCGTCATAAACTACACTAAATATAGCGTAGAGTTATACAAAATTTAAATTTTATTTATTAAAAAGTATTTAATTGATACTAATAAATAAAAACAATGTAAACCAGATATCGCAATAAAATTTTTGTTAAAAAATATCGGCTTTAAACCTCTAAAAAAAAATAAAATAATAATAATTCATAATCGCAAGAGAAAGAAAAAAATATGCATTGGAAAAAA